AAAAATATGTCAGCCATTATCAATATTTGCGAATGTCTAAATTAGAAGTTAATGCGTTTCCGGATTACTCCAAGACACTTTGATGAATGCTAATTTGAATTTTAGTTAAGTAATTAATAAACTACGATCGACTAAATTCGGGATTTTAACCAAAAACGTGATTTAAAGGACTGAAAAATATTTATTTTCGTGTCATTATGAAGAAACGATTACGAACCAACTACGGTTTTACCAGTGCCTATCGGTTTATCGTGCTCCTGTATTCGAAAATTAGGTTTATAAATGTATTACCGACGTCGTCACTAATTTGCTATTGCGTAACGCAAAATCGTTTCACGCCAAGAATATTGATTCGCACCATTTTAAACTGCTAATGACTGTTGTTTCTTCACGTTTCTCTTATTTGGACCGAGTTCGCATCCAGTAAGTTCGTTTTTCACCAATCGAAGGTATATTTTGCGCTGCATAATGTTAACGATGCGCGATTGGTAGAAAAGTAGAAAAGTAGAGAATATAAATCTGAAATAATTTCTTTAGGATAAAGTAGAACAGTTTGAAGCCGAGATCAAAACGACCGCAGAATGAGATAATAACGTCTAATGGTTAGAACACAAGGTATAATACACAGAGATCAAACTTCCTACACTTGCAGCGGTAACAATACTTGTAGCGGTCGAAAGCCAACACGTGATCTATAAAGATCACGTGTTAGCTTTCGGCCAGTAGAATTGACTCGTATATGAACTAGGTTCGCGGCGCTTCGATCGGAGTACGTCACAAGTACTGTAAATGGAATCGTCATAACATCACAGACTTTTAGTATTTTGCTAAAACTAAGTTTTTGAAGTTTACAATAAAATCATTAAATTTAAATTTTTAAAGCAAAATTAGACGTTGCGATTTCCGATCAAATCCGAAAACTTGGTCTTCGTGTATTCTACTCTGTGGATTAGAAGACATTCAGTCTTCCAATCGTTTTCCATTAGCCTGTAAATAGTCTATATAAATAGCGTGTAAAGTGTGATACATATACGTAGACAGGACGTTTAAGTACTGTACTTCGGTGAGTTAAATGACGTAACGACGAATTCGACTAACCTGTAACGGATACAAAATGTCTTATTTTAAATTATATTGTATACTAGGTTAGAACTGTTATAACAGTATTAAAAATAACTAATCAGAAAGACCATTCTTATTTCGTTGTTGCCAGTCGCAAACTAACTCATACCTTGAATCAATTACGATCCGGTATAAATAAATAGAGATAAGAACGGAGCAGCTGTCAGTTAGTTCCTTATAGTATATATTTTATTTGGCACTTCTTTCATGCGAGATTTATTTTAGTATTGTTTATTTTTGACGTTGCCGTTATAGGAATATAATATTTACTTTTATAGGAATTTGTTTAACATTGGCGTTTTTTATTAGCCCGGCCAAACTATTAAATTTAATAATCTCCATTTTTGAATTAAAAACACTGTCAAGTTTTCGATGTAATTTTATTCAGCTTAAATATTCGAAGATTTGATTTGACCTGGAATAAGTTGGGACTGTGTTTAATTACTAACAAACAATCGTCGATAAAGAGAAGTAAAATTCTTTTCCCGCATGGTCGTGACAGAATTTAATCTACGTGAAAGAAAAACAGATTGCGGCAGTTTTCTGCAACATTTCTCGATATGATCATAAGAACGAAGATGAAAGACGATAAAATATTTGAAAAATTATACAAAATGATTAATTTTTTTCTTTATAACTTTTCCTTTTGAATGTTTATATGCCGATCCATCTTAATTGGGTTATCAACAGTAGGCTCTGTCGATCGATGTGGTGGCTCGGTGCGATTCGAACAAATTGGAATTTTGATTTACTAGTAAACGAGCAATTAAAAAAAAAAAAAAATTAGTGATGGACGAGGAAGAAGAGAAGTGAACAGATTGTAAAGATATAAAGGAGAGCCAAATAAACGCTTTATTACGGTAATTTAGATTTAATTTTCGACGTTTTTAAACTTGTTTCTATCGTTTTTTATTCTTTCGGGATGCCAATGACTTGGCAAAATAACATATTTATCCGATCCTTAACGTAATAGTAATATTGACTCGGCATCTATTTCCTTGGACCCGTGTTTTTCTTGTCGGATGCGTTTTCAATCGACGATTGGATTGAAACGATTTCTCCACTAGCCCTGTGTTAAAGAGGGAGGAGAATGCTCGTAACCATCCCTTCTCTATAATCAATGGGGGCGAACGGGTAAAGGCGAAACCAAAACACCAGCCTCTTCCTCTTTAACGTCTTGGATAGACATTTGTTTCGCACTTAAAACTCGGAGATGTTATTTAAATCTCGGCTAACGAAAAAAATTAGAAAAATATAAAATGTCGTTTTAATTTTATTCGGAATTTTTAAATTGTTAGCGTAAGTTTTTACGTTTTAATATTGTCGAAACTTCGCAAATATTTCGTAACACTCGAGGCCCCGTCTTTATTTTTTCTCCGTTTCCTTTGTTTAACGCTATGGCATATACAAACATTACATGGAGATACGCCGTTTTTTTGTGCCGGTTTGCAACAATTTATAACAAAAGCGGTCTTCTTCCTCGAAGAGAATTTATCTCAATGCTTCACAAAAGCAGGGGGAAAAATTAAAAATTAAACGGCATTAAATAAAATTACAATTTTTGTGTGTGTATCGAGATAAATGCTTCTGTCGTACTTCTGTTCCTTACTCTCCGGTGTTGTAACGCCACGAAACCAAACGTTTCTGACAGAATAAAACTAAAATTTGCTGGAAAATTTAAAGTAGAGTAAGTGTATTTGATGAAAGTGTTTATTCATCACAAATATGCCAAATATTTCCTAAATAATTGAAATGTTCTAAATTATTTTTACGCAATTAAAGTAGTTATAATCACAATTGTGTATTAATTTTTAAATTAAACTTGTTAACAATTAAATCACATTTTTATTGTTAACTTACCGTGATATCTTCTGTTTTGATAGTGCAAAAAATATATAAATTTATAACAAGTAATTTTTTTACTACTTTTCTTTATTCTTTATGACTTAACTCAATAAACACGAAACTTCACTTCGAGAAAAGTCTTTCTACCCTTTGGATAAACAGATTTATCGCTCGATCAAACGATGTATCAGTCAACGTTTGGAGTTAGAAATTTTTAATGACATATAAACAATTAATTAATTAAACGTTTAATCTTTTAGGCGTGGATTGTGGTAGAAACAAACAAAAAATAAATAGAAAAGGTGGAAGAGTCGAGCGGAGAAAACACACCGGTTGCAGATATAAATTAATAACAAGCTTTAAGTGCTTAAGCATTATCTGGCAATGGCATCTACCTCACGTATCCATTAATGGAATAACTTGAATAACTCAAACAAACAAGATTAATTATAAAAGTCCAGAAAGTCGACGTTTCACAAATTCATAATACATAGCGGCTTACTTACAATTAACTTCTGCATTTATATTTACTATATTTGAACTAAGCGTGGGACAACCTTCTAAAACAATTGTAAATATTTAATTACGGTAAATTCTATTTTGTTTTTTTTTTTCTCCTGCTTTGTTTTATCGAACAATAATTTCGCTTAGAAGTATTAAAACTATTTTTAAAAAAGCCTTGAAGTTCGTGTCGGCCTATTAAAACGAACAATAAAGAACGTGATTAAAATGGAATAAATCAACAAAAATAAAGATCAGAGATTATAAAGAGAGTTCGCAATAGCCGCCAAGTTTTTGACCATGCGTTATGCAAATTAGCTTGTATAAGCGGCATCGAGTGTTACGACAATTGTTCGAGCTTGATTTAAAGAAGAATTAATGTTGGAACTATTTTATAAAATTAAATTGAGTCGTTTCCATTCTATATTTTATATTATTTTTAAAACTTAATTCAATTTTTTCGTTTCGTTTAGATTTGACGGATAATAACCCCGTGGTATATTTATAGCTATAAAATACATTAGATGTATCCCTTTAAATAATGTTTTATTCCTGGAATTTGTATGATTATTAATTTATAAATCTTGAAGATTCATTGTGTTATCTTTACTTTTTCCAGTTAAAAAGAAATACTTTATACAAAGAATTAATTTAATTATTATCTTTTATATATCTGTTGCTCTAAACAAACATTAAATTTTTTTTCTTTCGTTTTTTATCCATATTTAAAAGAATAATAATTTACTAATTTCTTATCGGCTGTTAAAAAATAAAATAAATTTATATATATTTTACTTACCGGCCAAATTTCGAATAATAAATGACAGTGACAAGTTTTCGAGTATAAAAAAGCGTTTTCCTTTATCTTTATTCTTCTTAAAATTAAAATAAAGAAGAAAATTTTTACGCGAAAGGCGTTTACTATTAAAAACAATCTCGAGAGATAAAATGAGTTTAACAGCTTTTAGAACGAGTCGATTCTAAGATTACTTCGTACTTAAAGGAAAGATAAGAGAGGAAAAATTGAAGAGTTATGTTAATACACCCTCTAAACAACAGCCAAGCTTTTGTGAATGTATTAACATAACTCCCTAATTTTTTCCCTTATATTTACTTAAAATTTCTAAACAAAGTACATTTAACAAATTCTATTTTCCTCGTTTTATATTCTTTACATTTTCCAGTTGTATTTAAATATTAAACAGAAATATAACGAACTTTGTGACTATAAATGTTGCATCAGAATGCCAATATAATCCCGTTGCCGTTGATCTTTTTGTTTTTCCTTTTTTATAAAACTAGAATTTACTTAAATACTTTCCGAATTTTAGATTTCAGTTACCAGTTTTTTTTCTGATAAATAGGCTATTCAAATGTTAACTTTCAGTTCTTCTTCTCTGTTCTCAGCAGTTACGATTTGTATTTTATTCGTATAGGCCTATAAATTAATTAATAATGAAACGATTTTTTAAAGAATTTAAATGATATTTTATCAATTGTTGACGATTAATATCAAATTTTTATCATTACAGACGAAGAAAACGAGAAGTCGATAACTGTCGTTTTAAACGGGGAAGAATCAGAATTAGCCTTTATAGAACATTCGGTTATAGGAGAACCGGTGAGTGAATAGAATAAATATTTAATTTAATCAAAGAATAAAATGCTGTTTTTGAATGGCATACTCTGAAAATAAGGTTTTTATAGTTTTATTTATTTCTTATTTATAATTCTTTTTCTCAATATTTATAACATATTTTATTCATATCTATGTTTAAAGCCCAATACTTTCTTAAAGTGTAATTTAATCGAATAGTTTTTAAATAATTGTTTGCTGTTTTTTATAAATTTCGACAAAGAATCATTCTTATCGCTTAATTGAATAAGATAAAACGTCGCATTAACTTACTAAATGTGTGGTTTTATAATATAAATAAGAGAATTTTAATGAAATGTTTTATATGCAAACATTGAACGATGCCTTTTCTTTCTCCTCAGCCTCAAAACTTCGTAGAAATGTATAATCCAGATGCTTACGTGTTAATATATTCGGTGGTCAGCAAGAGAAGTTTCCAAAAATCGAAGGAAATCCTGGGATTACTGGAAAAGTGGGACAATGTGGACAACAAAGCGGTCATCCTGGTGGGAAACAAAACCGATCTGGTCAGGTTGAGAGTTATTTCTACCGACGGTGAGTAGGATGAGAAAATAAATATTTGTTCACTCCTCTAATCCTCGGCTTTTGGAGGAGACGAGGAAAAATATGAAAAACGACTAGAGGAATAATTGAAAAGTCGAAAAATATTAAAAGCAATCCGAATAAATTTTCAATACTTAAATAATAAAGACGGGCAAAAATTTTCCAAATGTCAAATGTGAATCTTTAAATAAAAACGAAAATTTTCCCATTTTCAGATAAACAATCTTCTAAATTTTATACGCAAGGAAACTAATTCTAAATTATTGTAGTTTATTTTATTCCTGCGGAAAATACAATAAATAAATAAAATAACATAAAATCTACATATTTTAAAAATTCAAATTTATAAATTAAAAAGTGGAATTTCAAAACATCTCATCTTTAGAAATCTGCTTCTTGCGAAGAATTTTGAATAGAAAGGCTTCGAATCTTATTCGCCTAAGGAAGAATATTTAAATCTTTCTTAGGTAAATAACATTGCTAGTGTTATTCACCCGATATCTTCCAATAATCCAAACTTTTATAGAAATAAACCGGAAAATTTTAAAACGAAATTTTAATTTTAACAGGGGAGATGTTCGGTATAAAGATTTCTTTGGAAATTTTTTAAATTAATTGATTACGATATTTTTATTGGGAAAATATCAAACGTTTTAATAAAAGTAAATAGTTGATGATTTTAGATATTGCGGTAACTTTAAACAAATTTTTCTTCATAAAAAATTTTATTCCACACGCACTTTTGGAACGAATTCCGGATTTCTACCATTGTTGCCGGATTACTAAGAAAAAGTACAATGATTAACAATGACAGGACGATTGAATAGTTAATAATAAGGAGAATCTCTTCGTGAAATTCAAAATGGTTGACACAGAACATCCACAGTGCACTTCGCATCCAATTTTCATTTGGAAGAACCTTCAAAAATGTCTATAAAAACAGTTGTAACGTGTTTACCGAAAGAATCTTAATTCGAATTCGTTCATGTATTAAGGGGCTTAACGTATAAAAATCTTTCACGTCATACTCGTATCCACCAAATGTGTTTTCAAGCGATAACAAATCGAAATATTTATAATTTTCAATTAAACTTTTGTTTCGACGCCCATATTTATAAAACATGTTCCAATATTTTGCCATTTTGTGTAAGGCTGTTCTAATATGCGTTTCTATTTCCATCTTCCTATATAAAGTAGATACAGTAAACCTGCGTAAACTGGAATACTTTTTCCGTTTTGTACAGGTTTTACTGTATTTGTAATATAACGTAGACTTAGGTCTTACAATACGTTATTGTAATCGTACTTTAAAGTAAGGCGAATATTCGAAGAAAGTAATGTTTGTTGTGCACGAGGAAAGGATGTTTGAAACTGTTTTGGAGTGTTGTCTCTAATCAAAGTTAATCGAAAACACTAAAACAGTTATAAATGCAACATATATTTGTTGAAGAAAAACAAAAAAAGAACCCCATAAAATGTAAACAGAATAAAATCGAGTTACATTTGTCACGCTCCAAATATTTTGTCCCGGTTAAACTTAATTTAATAAATTTTTATAAAATAGTTTTTATTTATTATCTTAAATGAAAATATCGAAAATAATTTGATTTTCCTTTTTTTCCATTTTTTTTTGCAGACGGAAGAGCTCTGGCGACGTCGGCGGGGACCAAATTTATTGAGACGTCATCGGGCATCAATCATCACGTGGACGAATTACTGGCGGGAATTTTGAGTCAAATTCGATTGAAAACGGAACACATAGAGAAGATGAAGAAGAAGAGAGAATCGGTCAGCGCGGGAAAGGCCAGGGGTCGATGCACGGGATTCGCGGGATGCAAAGCTAAAGGAATCATCAAGAGAATCTTAAAAAAGGCCTGCACCAGGTCAAAATCTTGCGACAACCTCCACGTTTTGTAGAAATCCTCGCGGCAACTGGGAACCGACGCCAGAGTTACCAAACTTATATCTGTGGTGTGCCTTTTGCATTTCGGCAAAACAAAATAGCGAAGTCGAAAATACATAAATATTACTCTACTCCTTTATATAAATATATAATTATTACTACGACTTTACCGTGGAAAACCATCTCTTCGTTGTTGTGGCAACGTGCAACAGCGTGACGCGTGACGAGTTTCCATGCAGTCTACGCGCATCGATCGACGTCGACGACGCGTTACCTAAACACTTTGATCGACATTACATTTAGAGTAGAAAACAATTCGAAAGACCAAATTTTAGAAGAAATTTGAATAGAAAAAACATTCAATTTTCGTAAACCGGGAAAGAGAAGAGAGGAAGATAGACTTTGTTACAGTTTCTAGACATTTTTAGTTAAATTTTCATAACTAAAACAAAATAATAAGGAAGGAAACAACGAAAACAATTATCGCCTAGACGTATGTTAGAGAGAATTTTTACGAAAAATGAAAAAGAAAAAAACAATTTTGTAACATTTGGAAAAAAATTTATAACTTTGATATAGCACTGCGACCCGCACTTTAGATATTTCGGCTTTAGGAAAACAAAGAATATAGAAAATTTGTAAATGTTTAGCGCAGTTTTGAATAGAAACACGATCGCTTCTCCTAACAATCGTTTACCCAATTTCTGTTTGGTAGAGATTAAGTGGACGGAAGTAGCGACTTAATCGCGTGTCTCCATTAGATAAAACACTAATCCGATTGGGTCCGGTTCCATTTACCTTACTTTATCTTCTTTAATTATTAATGCCGCGAGTACAAATGCAACCGTTTTTTATTTCTGTACTTTTAACTAATTAGAAATATCCCCGGTCGCGAGGCGCAGCAACCGGAACACCCGCACTTCGGTTTCTATAAATAGAAACCGCGTGCGTTAAAATAACACTTCACCCAATCCGACGAAAGACAAAAAGCGGAAGTGTAACAACGACATATTTACACATTTATAGATTTGTAATATATGCATCCTCCGACGTTATTAATTCTTTTTTTATTAACTAAAAATTTATCATTTGCGTTCATTTTTCCCTCTTTTTTCCTCTCTCTCTTCTTTTTCGAACGATCTTCCTCTTTCAGAAGCAACAGAAGGATGGTCGGTTCAACGACCGTTGCCTAGCAACCGCCCAGGACTCCTCTCTGACGTCGCATCGACCACGAAGGAAGTTGCTAATGTCCCATTTGTACATAGCGCATTGTATTATATTACGATACTCGATCGTCACGTGTCTTTTTTCTTCTTCTACTTTGTTTTTTGTTCATTTGTACGGGAACGTCCGTATGTTAATCGGTTTAGTATGCTACACGTTTTTCCGTAGGGGGGACGGCCAGAGATTACGTTAAATATTAATTAAAATGACTATTGAATGTTGTACTCGTACCGCTAAAAAGAAAAAGTCATTTTTTTCGAATTTTTCCTCGTTATATCGATCGTATGTTGTATTATGTTTATCAAAAATATTATGATAATAAACCATGTTTTTTTATAGAATATTTTTTACTTCTCGTTAATTCTGCCTCCGCATCGAGTTACTTTGGCCACATAAAGTATTCTTTTTTTGTAATTTTAGGACGTCTTCGGCCAGAAATTGGAACGTTAATTAAGTATTTAATAATATCCCGATGGCGATTTTAAATCGGTGGAAAATCTACTTAAATGATAAGCAGATGAAAATCTCTGAAGAATTAATGGATAAAAATGCTTTAAGTACTAATAACAAATTCGTGTCATGTTCGAAATCAAATTATAAAATTACTTTTAAAATAAACACTAAAATTAATTTTTGAAGACTTCAGTATTTCTTAATTACCAATAATTTTCTAAACTTTTATCATTTATCTAAATGCTGGAATGAAAATTCTCTGAATTCAAATAATAAATGTCGATATCTTTCTATCGGGGCGTCGATAAAACTACTTTATCGGGCAAATAAATGGGTCAACCACTCGCCCAATCCGAGAAAAAGTCGAGTTAAATAAAAAATTAAATCTCTCTTCGCTGAAAATGTGAGATATTTTATTATTTTCTAAACAATCTTCTTTTCTCTGTTCCAATTTTTAACACTGCTATTCTCTACCAGTCTGCAAATTCTTATATTTCTGCATAGACGCTTTCCTTCCCGTCCTTCGTCCAACTAACGACGTTTCTCAGCGTTTTTGCAAATATTATGGTAGAAAAATGTTTATTTAAGAAACGTTTCAGCTTTTTATTATGATTTCCTATCGACGTGACTTATTTTCGTTAATTTCTTTTGCAGCTCGAGTCTTTCTTATATGCTAAGTTGATCGGATTAGCCTACTGTTCGAAACGTGTTCGAGTCTTTAACGTAGTACACCTGCCACTATCTAGCGAAGAAAACATTTATATTAGAAAGATATTAAAACGTGAATACACGAAAATAAAACAATTAACTCCATTGCTTCCTAATGGAGGCACCGAAAAATTAAATTTTTCGACAAGATAATGTTTACTTAAAACTTTTTTAAGAATTTCATTCTTTAATAATTAAGATTTATTCAAAAGTATGGAATGGATTCTTCGTAATTCGTAGAGGATAATAAATAAGCTAAGTTTACAAGCAGACGTTCACGCACGCCATAAGATCCACGTTGCTCCGTAATTTACATAACGCTGGAAACTTTGACCAGGCAAGAGCATGACACCAACGTGTGCACGCATTTACTTTCAAATTTACTTAGAAACTGTTCGAAACAAAATTTGTTTCTCATTTATTAAAAATATGTTACTACCGGGCAGAAACTTTAAAATGCTAAATAACATTAGGAAGTCGAAAGGCGAAGATTTCGTCGACCAGATCCGGGCTAATTATCTGTCTAGAAAAGTATCGCCGCTTCGGAATTTCATTAAAGTCGAGAAAGTCGAGCGATTGTTTACGAAGATAATCTCATTTTAATCATTAGTCAAATAAGAATCAAATCTACTTAACTAGAAAGAATACCTGCAAGAAAATTGATTACAGTTAAAATATATTCTTCTAACTCGATTATTTTCCAGACACCAGGTCGGTTCTGTATTTAGGCAGAAATTAAAATAAAAAATTTCGGTATTTTTAGGGTAAATTACGTAAATTAATTTATTGGGCGTGAGTACAAAAGATTACATTAATATTTGATGAAATCTCTTGGTAACAAATCTTGATATTAAAGCTGGAAATTGGGACATAGATCCACTTTTTTTCTCTTCACCCAATAGTAAATCGTCAAAGCATTTATCACAAGATTCGAATGCAGAAAATTCAACATTCTCTTGCGACGTAACTAGTGCAGAATCGAATCTCCAGTTAAATATCGAATATGGGATCCATTATCTCCTGTCGGATGTAATTATAATTAAGCTGGTCGACTCGGTTTGGCAAACATAAACTGTAGAACAGTTAACTAAAAGCGGTGTTTTAGCGCTCCTTTAATTCTCAATTAGTTAAAGCTCTCAATTTAAAGCTCTCGAGAGGGACGTCTACTTTTATTACTCCAGTATCGCTGGAAATCTATTCGAATCACTAAACGGAACAAAGGACTTTAATCTCACATCCCGATAAAATTGCCAAACACTCGTCTCCGTTTTTTTCTTAGAGGAATTCGTGCCGAATTTTGCAACTTATTAAGAATTTTTATGTAAATAGAACACCGATATCGACGGATTTGCAGAGATATCATCGATTTTTCTTCCAGAGAGGAATCTGTCCGACAGCGTCTAGATTCAGTTAATAAACACGATGAAAAGAAGCGAAGAGTTTTAACGTCGTTTCTCCTTTCTCGTTTGTAATATAAAACGCATAAAATTGTGAATTTTTTCGTTCTCCGTAAACGAATATTTCGATTCCTGAATATCGCATTTTTGTTTTTCTCTTCGAAATGCTTACGAATTTCTTCTACATTTTCTTACTGCAACTGATGAATATCCAATATCTGATTCTAATTTTGTTTCGTTTAAAATATTTTTATTTCCGTCCGATTTCTCTTGTCGTTGAACTAAAAATTACTTTAGCTACATTTTTCGTTCATCCATTATTTCGCATCTCTCAAAGTTTACCACAAAAGAAAGAATCAAAGAATCGTTTCTTAAATAAAAGAAAGAAAAATTATAATTTTGCTTATTTTCTGATTTACAAACGAGAGATATTTTATGAAGGACACGTAGCATTATTATATTGTTAACGCTATTGTTCCTAAATACTCAACGAGCAAATTCGCTGTTTTGTTTCTCATAAAAGATCTACTTCCGGTGTGACGTTCTCCCGCCTGATACAAATCACTTTCGCACACCCGCACCATGATACTTAAGGAATATACACGCAGAGATAATGATACAATACCGTGTTTATAAAATATATAGTAAGTATGACTCGATACTGCATAGAAAACTTCAATGTTCAATTTAATCACAAAATAAATTTGTTAATGAACATTTAATTTTGTATCTAGTAATATAAAAATTGATTAAAATTCAGATTCCTAATAGAAGTACGCGAGAAGTTAATCTAATAAAAGTTACCTTTACATAAATTTCTTGATAATTAAGTCCGAAGATGGCCCACATCGCATTGTTTTACATAAATAACTTAAGATTAAATTAGATCGAGAAGTTTCTGTTTGTAACCCATTCAAATTTTATAATATTTGAAGGATGACTTTTCAACAATGCATCAAATGACATTAGACTTTTCGTGTGACGTTCCTTGTTTTAAGTCAGTTTACAGTGCGTATTTAAAATGCATTCCTCTGTCAAAGTTTCTATATTTTTTTTAAAATTCGTACAGAATCGAAATAGTATTTCTATATTCATTTGTTAATATTTTCGGTACAACTTATTTGATATTTCTAATCAATGAAGACTCGACAAAAAGGATGACGTTATATATAAGCCTGTACATAGGAACTAAAATACTGCATTGCGCGAATAGTTTGATATTCACGACAAGTTTAAACGATTTGCATACGAAATCGTTAATAATTTGATACGAAAATAGTGTTTTTTACTTCGATAAGAATCCAGAGAACAGAGTGGACATCAATATAACCAATGCAATTACCAATAGATAGACAGGTAATGGAAAGAACGTGGGAAGATGTTTCCTCCACGAAACAGAAAATGGGAATGATGGCAAAAGGACATATTGGGAATTGGAAACAGTGGGAGTCGTCAGAAATTGTTTCCCCCGCCGCTTTCGTTTGTAATAGGAGCAAAATGGGAATTCGGTTGCAAAGCAGATGGTCTCAAATGCCAATCCGCCATGAAATCGATAATATATTTCGTGAAAGAAAGAATTATTTTAATTTTCCTTCAGAATAACGTTACTTTATTTTTTTAGATTTTTAAAAAAATAAATAAATAATAGAAAAGAAAGTTAGAAAAGGATAATTTGGAATGCCCTTTGATTCAAGATCCACTGGAATTTGAATTGCAACGTTTTGTACTGTTTTATTGATATATTAATTTCCGCAATTACAGGTTTTTCTTCTATCCGCATTAATAAAGATACAAATCGAAATAATATTCGCGTTTTACTTGTTATTTTAAGAAATTTATTAAAATTTGATATTAACAATTAGAAGAAAGGCACAAAAACAAATAAAAATGAAAGTTCGATTTACGGTGCATACGCATATTTTCTGATTACGTTCAAAATCTTTTTCATTAGCTAACAAAATATTTAAGATTAAAAATTCCAGAAGAATGTTTATAAAATTTATAATTTCTTTGTTTTATTTTTTAATGTAGGTAACACAATTTAACTCGTTCTGTCAAGTGAAGATGTCTGTAATTAAAATCCGCATAGTCCGTCCTCTACAGAAGACTACAAGGCGTGCAACTGAAATTTAGTAATTTATTAACCGCGGAATGTCGTACCACTTTAAGGAAAAAATTCGGTGGAAAATTCTATTAGTGACACCGATGTTTAACGAGGACAAACGACACCGTAAAACAAGTGTATAAAATTACAAAAAAGTGTCGAACGTGTTAAAGAATTATTCGGCACGTGTTCTACGTTGGGGGAAGAAACATCGTTCTCTCGAGATTGCTAACAGACAAGAGTATCAAACACTTCTTTCTTTCTTATTGTTTACCTTGATTAAATATAGTTCAACTAATTTCCCGGTGATACAATTTCTGATTGAAATTCTTCTCTAACAACACGTTCGAATAACCTCTTTAACCTGTTTACCAGATATTGCGAAGGTACTGTACAATGTTTAGTCGTTGCCGTAGAGATGGTGGGACGAACTTTAATTTTAAAACTCCGCATATTAAATTTGTTTTAAAGCTAGATGTTAAATTCTAATATGCATATTAATGTACGAAAATTTTAATATATATATATATTAATATTCACGATGAATTATTTAAGTCAATAATTGACGAGTATTCGTCGTAAACAAACGGTTTGGGTAAAGAAAAAAATCGCCATAAATAAAACTTATATTTTAAAAATTGTTTATGGTGTAGGAATGTGGATCAAAAATCCATTTGGAAGCAAAGTTGATTAATTCTGTAACATTAC